TTGATATAAAACTGTGTCAAAATTATGCCAAAACGTATATTGTAAGATTTGTATAAGTTCTTAGTATTAAACAGAGCTGAAAACTTTAGAATGGTGGATATCGAGATTAATGTTTGATCCTCTCTTTTTCTTAATATCTAGAATAGCCTAATCTTGTACCTGTATCCTGGAAAGTGTATAAAATTCAACCAATCAAAGTCGCGTATAGGAAGCCGATAAATTTGAAATTTTGCGCGCCAGAAACGGGAGGAACTCTCTAATTTTAAAAACAGGTTTTTTATTTTTCTCTACTATGTCCAAGAAAAAACAGTTTAAAAGAATATCAAAAGTGTGTCCATTGGATACTCAGATTAAGTAATCGGGATTAAGGATATCTCATTCTAAAGTTTTTAGCTCTGATCATATTCAACAAAAAAGCAACCAATCTGAAAATAAGGTTATATCCCAGAGGAGCCTGAGAAACTTAAGTTTGCGCCTTTAATAATTTTTTTATTTTCAATAGATATAATTGATAATATCATTTATGCGTCCACAACTCCAACCAATGACAATGCAGTATTATTGTCATGTGTCTCTGTCTGTGTTACATGACCAGTATACTGCATTGCCATTAGAGGGAGTTCTGGTCACGTAATACGGACACATATCTTACATCTTTACGTTTAGGTATAATTTTGACACAGTTTTATGTCAATTTTTTAGAGACAGGAACATCAATTAGATGTCTTATAGTTACCGTTCAACTCCTGAGATTCTCAGGTTTCAGCCTATACCCCTTTCATTTTTTCCTTTACAGTCTCTTTAAACTGTTTTTTCACAACAATATATTTTCCAATTTGCAAAGAAAGCAAAAATATGTGAGGATGTAAATTCCTAAAATGCAGGAAGTCGGGCTTATTTATGGCCACACACTAACTTGGCAAGTAAGCCTATGCATATAATTTATAAATATATATATATATATAAACTGTAACCATTTCACACTAAATTAAGCTAGTGGGTTAGGTAAAATAGGCCTATGAATGATAACCCGAGTACTGTAAAAAGTCTGGCCGTGCCATCATTGTTGAAACCAGGCCGACATGTAGGGGCGAGCCACGGGCAGCCGTAGTAGTACATTTGAATTTCCGAGCCGGGTCAACCTTACTGGTCCCAGTTTTTACTGTAACACTCGGACATTGGGTAAATAAGGCAGACACTCAATAGGATTAGTCAGTGCAACAAGGTTGACGCGGTCAGACTTTAGGTTGAATTTACTTTTACTAAAGGGTCAGGGGTGAGTTGAGTGGTATCTGCCGCGCGTCATTAAGGGGTCGCTCCGGATCTAACTCAAATTAACCCTAGTCCTCCGTGATTTAGTATATATCTAAAAAGTGGCCGAATGTTAAAGGAACAGATAATTTTAATTTTAAATTCAAAAATAAAAAAATCTTAGAAATGCACCACAACCGTCCCTTTAACCCTATCTCTGCTTGAAAAACAGGATATGCTGGGGGGGTCAATTGATCCCCCCCCCCCTCTAAATCCCATGTCTGATGTCCAAATATGACAAATGATACATCATTGGAAAGCTCTTGTGCTCTACTTTTAGAATCTGCAAAAAAATTTGCAAATTTGCAAAAATTGAATTTTTATCGCAAAATCCAGTTATATAGTAAAAATGTTTGAAAAAAAAAAGTTTGTCCAAAAAATGAAAAATTATACATTTCAAATATGCAAAATTTTTTGCAAAATTTTAAATAACCTGATTTTTAATCACGAAAAACTAAAAATGTGCAAATTTCCTTTGACAGGTGGTTTGCAAAAAATTTGCAATTTTTTTTCGCAAAACTTGTGCAATTCGTTTCCTTATGTCAAAGGCTTTCCAAAAAGCTAAATTTGTTCGAAATCTGACAAGTGAAAGTGGGTCAAAACAAAGATTTAATTTGTTACAGGAAAAAGCAGTCATTCAGGCAGTGTGCCTGAGGACTCAGGCAGTTAGTATTAAAGCTCGGTTTTAGGCATAAAGGGAGGGCTTTGGGTATGTAGGAAAAGTCAGAAAATTTCAACAGCCTCAGACCAATGCTTTTTGAGTTATGTAAAAAAAAAACTACAGGGGGGGGGGCCAAATTGACCCCCCCCCCCCCCCAGCAGGAAAAGGGTTAAACAGTTTATAACTTTAAAAATGTTTGAGCGACCAGTAATGACTTTATCTGAAAAGGTGCTCTATTCTGATCATTTGATTCTTTGTCTCTGTTGTGTAAAGCTATACATACCTTCAATGTAGAGAACAAAAAATCTAAATTATATATGCAAGGCCCTCACTTATAATGAGTTGGTTGAGCTCTCTGGTACCTATTTCATTACCCAATAATCAGGGTTTGATGGAACAGTGGTTAGCGTGTTTGATCCATTCTAAGAGTCATGGTTTAAGCCCGCCCCGTCAACTGCAAAAATCTAAAACTAATAAAAATTCAGGACATTTGGACGAAACACTGTGTTTACGGATAATATATTAATATTATTACCCAACCTAATCATAATTTTCCAAAAACATGATCATAGTCAACTTCAAGACAAATTATTTAAAAAGCCCTAATTCTTTAACCCCATCCCGATTTAGTCTTAGTATATGGGGGGATGTCCCCCACCGGTTTGATTTTGCCCTTAGAGTTGAGATAGGGGAGTGTGATATACATGTCCCAAGTCCAATTTCCAAGGCCTGATATTAAAAAAATTAGACCTCCATCTTCAATTGTTAGGGTGCAAGGTAGGATTTTTTTAAAGTTCAAAAAGTACGTCGAAATAATGATAAAAGTAAACATTTTTACTTGTGTACAATATTAATTTGTGACACATGTTACTAAATCCTTTTAACAAGGGCTTTACATTCATATAAGTTTAGCAGCTGTAGCTTAATAGATTAAAAAGTTAATACCTCCCCCCCCCCTTTTACGTGAAATGGTTAAATATCTCAAAATACAAACGAACAAACGAAAAATATTACTCAAATTATGTTTGTTTATTATCTTTATATAGTTCCATTGTTTGAGGGTTTTTCAAATAAGTAGAATTATATCTGAATCTTGCAAATATGAATTTCAAAAAATTGACTTGACTTTTTTTTGATTTTGTTTATAAACAGATCCCTTTTCAAAAATCATCGTTTTGAAAACGATTGTTTCGTTTCTGATGTTTTTAACAAAACATTCAATTCGTTTTTCCAGAAAAGTGAAAACGATTCAACCCTTATGAATACGATTGTGTACTTTACCTTAAAAACTGAAAATATTTTTCAGTTAGTTTATTCCAAGGGTGTAATGCAAGGAAAGTTAATTGCGGTCGTCTGCGTACAAATTGAAACCAGTTCTCTTTGGGCGTAATTTGTAAACAAGAAAAGATGCATCAGTGTTCGTTTAGTATCCGAGAAGGTTAAAAGCATCAAATTTGATAATTTTGATAATTCACATAATAGTTTCCTTTGACTAGAATATTTCATTGAATTTTTATGTGAAAAATGGATCCCATGTCAGGCTGTAACATCTGTCTTGTGTTTACATTACCACCCAGAGACAGTACACTGCAGTACAAAAGATGCGTACACCTCTAAAATAACTTTCCTTGCATTACATCCTTGGTTTATTCCAAGCTTTCCAATTCTAACATTTGTAAACAATTAAAAGGAATTGCATTTTCTTCATTTCTTGATCAAGATAATCTAAAGAAATAAACAAGAGCATTCTAATTCTTAAGGAGAGATTTGACTTCAAAGAAAAAATTTATTCAATTCTAATTCGACTTATTGTGTATTACAATTCTTACTCAAAGAGCTGTATTTTCAATAAAAAAAAATGACGAAACTTAATTGTGAAATGTCGTACTTAAAATAAAATTTAAAAATAAAATCAATTATGGACAGGAATTAATCTTTGTATACTAATGTCAACCATTAACCACAAGACCCCCCCGCCCATCCATGTAATGTCGTCTTTAACTTAAAATCCCCTCTCGGAGACACCAAACCAAATAATTTTCGCCCCATTTTCTTTGTCCTCCGGTAACGGAGTCTAAACACTTTTATTATTGTGAACAAAATATTTTCATACAAAGAACTAGTGAATTTCGTTAACAATTAATTGTCATTTTTTCAGAAGTTTTAATACATAAAAACGTCTTAGACTCCCCGACAGTTCAACCTTCCAATCCCCAATTAGATCGTAAGAATCTTTTCATTGTAAAATTATAAAAATTGTAACAAATTCATACACTATTATCCATTTCATTTTTTTAGGAAATAATGAGTTTTCTGCATTATCGATTTTGATTTGAGGGTTATTCCGTTGTCTATCTGTTCATCATTGAGAATCTTGTTCCTATCCGACAACAACTATATACAGTGTACAATTTGCTGTAGCAACCTAGAAGTCGGTTTTTCACTTAAAATAATCCGGAGTTTTCGTGAAATGTCGAGAAAGTCTGTTTATCTAAAGTAAAAAGTGAGAATATGCTAAGCTTACTTAGCAAAGAGAATAGAATATATATTAGAGTGGAATTTGGAAATCCCTCGGTATGAATTTTGTCAGTCCCTTTCAGCCTGAAATGTAAAAATTATGTAAATGTTCACAAATTATATGTAGTAGAGTACATTAATACAGTATGTTCCCTAGACTATCCATTTCAATTTCGAATTCTTTAGAGCTTTATAAAATGAATTAGGTGAATAAAAAACATCATTTGATTTATAGTTATAACGGAAAATCATCGTTTGTAAAGTTAAAGGCATAGAGTCTATGTGAAATGAGCATTGGTCAATTATGAAACCAGCCTATTTCATAATTTGGTTTTCTTTTATTATTAATTTTAGACTTGCCGTTGATATATAAAAATCCGATTACCATTTGCAAAGGAATTGAGTTTTTGCAAATCTGTCTCTGATATTGTATTCAGAATAGTTGCCACATTGTTCAAGCGGTCAACTCTGGCTTTCTCAACCTAACATTGTAACAAGGAATTCAAGCATAATTCAAGCCCTTTCTAGGCAACAAGGCAGACAATTCGGGCAGTTTGCAGAAGACCAGCAGCATGAAGTGGTTACTAGTACTTTTAGGCCTTCTCTTTGTCACAGGAAACCCAACATTTTTATTTTTAAAATTTCATTTTTAAAATTTCAACCATCACCAACTTTTTGTTAATTTCTGAAAAGCAGATTAAAGAGTGTTTATTACAAAGCTAAAGAAAAAATAGTTTGAATTAGTTCTTAAATCCTAAAAAAGGAACGGTACACGAAATTTCAGGGGAACCTCCTTTTTTAATGCAGCATGTAAATCTAATCACGGAGGGTCACATAAAGTTTTGTCTATAGTCCCTTTAACCACTAGAAATTATTTATATTTTTACTTCTAACTCTATAGTATTGGATACTCTGTGGTATTGAATATATGTCAGGCACAAAGGAGTACGAGACAGATTCTCTAGATGGCAATTTACATAATTAAATTCTTTAAAGAAATATTGATTATGTTACAAAAATGTGTAATTATTTTGAGTCAAAGGAATTGATCGTCTTAGCCTGATTTTCTAATCCCTGTATTTGCGTCCAAGTGTTGTAGACCTAAGATATTTCAAACTGTAAATACTGTTAGATAAAATAATCAAAGTTTGAAATATTGAAAGGTAAAAAAAGGCATTAACTTATAAAGGCGTTAAAAAAAGATTGATTATTTTACCAGTTACCAGTTTTTTGACGTAACTTTGTCCTGCGAGTAGGTTTGTTAATCGTTTCAAAAACGATCGTAAAAACATTTGTTTTTCGTTTATTTTTTTTTCTATTAACGATTGTTTCGTTTTTGTAAAAATACGATCGTTTTTGAAAACGAAACACTCGTTTTGAACTTTCAAAAAAGGAAAAACGATCTTTTTTGAAAAAATTTTGCTCACGAAACTGAGTTTTAGGACAATTAATTTCAATTTTTTCAGAAAGATAAGGTCATGAATGTTGATTGAAATGTTTTTTTTTGTATCAAAACAAATAACTTGAATGTTTACTGACCTCGGGTTTTACGACTAAAAGGGAATTTTCTCTTTAAATAGTTGATATAACGGTCGTTAACGAAGGGTCGTTTCCAAAAAAACGAAGAACGATCGTTTTTGTAAACGATAGATTTTTTTAAAACAATGGTTTTCTTATTTAAAACGAAAAACTATCGTTTTTGAAAACAACCGTTTTTAAAAAAACAATTTTTTTAAAAAGATCCTTTCGTTTTTCGTTTTTTCTTTGTCGTTTTGAAAACGAAACGATCGTTTTTCAAAAAAGTTAAAACGATCCATTCCTACCCAGGAGCACCGGTTTGCCTTTAGATTTACGCCGTGAAATTGTCCTTTAATCCTAATTTGGCTAAATTTTCAATTATACGAATAGAAATGTGAAGTTCTGAATGAATAGCGTACAAAAATAAATAAATAAATAAATAAATAAATAATAAATAAATGAAAAAGCTATATATCTAAATAAGATGCTAAAAAAATTCAAGAAACTGAATTGAAATTATTTAAGAACCAAAATTTACGAAACAATGGTTGATAAAATACTTTTGTTTAATATCTATATAATTGGATCCATACGACAGTGGAAAACAACATTAAGGCAATATTTTGCGGGGAAGAGTAGGTTTGAAGGGGGCCATGCAGTACAGTCTTAGTTTACAAAAATCTTAAAAATGTCAGCATATATTTTCCTTATTCTAACTACAATTATCTGAGCTTTCTCTGAACATTCCGAACTTTTCAGCTGTTTCAAATGTACCCTTTTCCCCCTAAACTGAATAAATATCCCCCCTTTACTTCCCCCTTCCGCTATATTTAAATTCTTCCCTATTCTTATATCCCCAACATCTTACTTTCTTCAAACTTTCTTCAATATTATCGGAAATATTCGGAATTTTTCATAATTTGGTTTTCTTTTATTATTAATTTTAGACTTGCCGTTGATATATAAAAATCCGATTACCATTTGCAAAGGAATTGAGTTTTTGCAACAAACTCAAATTTTCGTATTCATATACATTTGCAACCTAAGGTGTAAATCTTTTATATTTCAACTTTAATCTTTTTTGATTTGACAGAATTTATAATTTGAAAAATAGGTCTACAACATCGGGTTGCAAAAGTAAAGTCTGAGCTTGTGACAAAAATTCTGGTCCTTTTTCCCTTCATTAACCCGATCAACTGAAACTTTTAAGCAGAAATAACAGTTGAGAGTGAATTGAATATTTACAACTTTAAATCAAAATAAACTTGAGCAGTTTGGCAACATTTTCCAAAATATTTGGATAATAAATATACATTTAAAATAAATCTCATCCCTTTCTCAGTTCATTCACTTTAGTGTGACCCCCCCTC